GCAAACAGTGTTATGTATTGCAAACGCCCGACGAGTGTCTCAGCCGTCACCACGAGATGACATTTGTCTCGTGGATCCGACAGTATATGTATTCATACGAACAGCGCCGACACGACTACTACCGGGCCGTCACTGTCGACCCCTTCTGGGAAATCAATCCGTTAACAGTTGTGAGCGAACTCTTGGCCGAACTCCTCTTCACACCACTCAAGAGTTTGGGACACTTTTTGGGTAATTATCTCAATGCCATTCATGTGTTGATTGTGTTTATTATATGTCTATTTATTTTTCATTGTGATTAACGACAGGTCTATTCATGTCATCGTATTTCAGTCATATCCCACTCTACCTAACGATTCCAGTCTTCATATTCCTCTGCTTCTGCACACTCTTAATGGTGTTATTAATAGCCGTTTGGCTCTTAATGCCGAACCGATACTCAATTCGGATACCATTTCTAATGACAATTCAATTGGAGAGAAGACAACAACATATGCTGTCAGACGAGACAATTGACCGCAAGATCGTTCGCAAATATCAAATACAGGCGAATGTTGTTAACGTTTACCACTCTTTGCCACCAAATAATACTAGTTTTGATAATACAATAAATGAGAATCAAATTAAATTTGATGAAAACCTATGCTTTCAAACAAATAAACCCATTTCTATCCCATATTCAGAAGTGGACTAAAAGCCCGTAAATTTATTATTGATATAATTATAATAATCATGTCTTTCATTTGTAAACTTATTTAATTTATCAAATTATTTAAATAACATACATAATTTTTAATTACATAGTTGTGTGTGATTGACAGTCAAAGTACTCATATATTAGTTTTATTTAAAGTTTTTTATATAATTTTATTTTGTGAATTTATAACTGTTCATATATTTTTATATTCTTATATATTTTTAATTAATTTATTGTGAAAATTGTCATAAATGTATAAATAGTTGTAGAAATTAACAAATATTGTAATAATTCGAAAAATATTTTTCATTATATTCTGACGAAAATTGATTTTATTTAAAAGTACTAATTCACTGAATAACATGTAATTTATAGGATTTAATCATCATGATCACGTTCAACTAAAAATTCAGTACCCCTTGAAAATTGGGGTGAATTATGATTAATGGTAGTGGTTCGTTGTTTGGGCAAGGGCATTGGCTCAAAGTGAACCGGACCATCAAATGAATTAGCGTTGTGATCGATCTCGGTGGCTGCCGTTGCCGCCGCCGGTGCCCCACTCGCGCGTTGTATATTGATTTTGGGTATGGTGAAATTGGGCACACGTAGGTTAGATACGCTACGTAAGTAACCCTTATGGAACACAAAGTACACTAAACCCGCCACAAGCCCTATGGCCAACAGTACGCTCAACACGCTTACAAACACCGTTACCGTTGAACCGCTGCCTTTCGATGAACTTTTAGGCAAATCCTTTAGATCTAGATATTTATAAACACAAATACATGATTGTGTTTAATTCTTAATCGATTCTGGTATTAGGCATACGATATTCCACTTACCCATACAGTAGGGCTCAGTGCCACTCCACTCGCCGGTGACGGCACAGAGTCTAATCTCTGATCCAATCAGTATTTTCTTAGAGCTGGCGATACACGAGTGGTTTACTATTGAATCGACAGAAGCGATCAGTTTATTGTCTTTCTGAACCACGTTCTGCCACTGGGCTCTCATATACAGGTCATTTCGTCGGGCGGGATGTGTCACCGGACACATGCTCTTCTTGACACAAGTGGGGAACTCTTGGCTCTTCCATCGACCGTTTCGACCGCACGACATGGTCGAAGAGCCCACCAATTTATACCCTGATCAACAAGTTTTATAGTTTCTTTTGTTAGTTTATATTTAATTCATTAATATAAAGTGGCAAAAATAGTACCTGGATCACAGGCATAGGTCCACTCGTGGTTTTCGTTTTGGCTGACAGTGCTATGCAGTGGTATATCAGGTGTTCCGCAGTCGTCCTGTTTGGAGACCATAACAGCCAAAGAACATAGCGATATATTCTTCGCGGTGTAACTCTTCTCAAACTTCTTGGGATCGATGTATAGATTGATGTAATAGTCTTGACCGACGTATCGATACTTGGGTTCATCCATATCGCACGTGAAGAAGAAGTAACACGGCATTGCCCACACGCACATTAGGGTCCGGCTGCAGTTGTGTGTCAAGAACAACGCCGGCTGCCAGCGGCACTGCCCTCACCACAGGTCATAAAACCCTAGTGACTAGAACACAAACGGCGGCTAGAAGCCACCTGGGTGCAACATCACCACAAAGTACGTGATGGTTACCGACGTGTTGAGCCGAAGACTCCATTTGTGGTTACTGTCTTGTCCAGTATTTTGGGATCACTGATCTTGTGTTTGCCGCCGAAGAAGCCACCTGGGTGCAACATCACCACAAAGTACGTGATGGTTACCGACGTGTTGAGCCGAAGACTCCATTTGTGGTTACTGTCGACCGAGAAGGTGGCGCACTCTCCTTTGTCCGCATCCCGTCTATTAACGGCCATTCAAATGACAATCATTAAGACATTTTACCATAAGTTTGTTAAGTTAAATCGCTTCGGAAATACCTGTAAGCGAAGTGCTCTTCCCAATCGGATGTGGAGTTACTTTCGGTCACCATATGGCTAGTCGTCCACCGATTGCTTTTGTCCATATCGTACACATATACAGAAGTTAGCCGTATTAGGTTTCCCCAATTGACCGCTTTATTGTTATTATAGTTAATATTATTATTGTTTGGGTTAACAACTAATAGCAATCAATTATCATTATTATCACTGGTAGACTAAAACTGACCGCATTTGCCGAGCGGACCCGTCCACTGGCCCTCAACGCATGTCCTCTTCCCGACATCACCGGAAACCCAGCGATAGGCGGACTCGCATTGATAGTTAATGACAGTTCCGTTTTCATACCATCGCCTTAAATCCGATTGTCCGCCAAACATACGATAACTGCCAGATGTGGTCGGTTTGGCAAACAATGGCATCGCCGGTAAACCACATGCCAGTGCTGTGCTATTGGCCTCAGTCAGCAGTTTATTAAACCTATACATACAATGTGTAAATGTACAATATTTTCATGTAAACTAAACCAAATTTTAAACTTAATTTAACCCACGATTGAAATGTAGTCATGTGTTTGTCTGCACTCTCAGTGTCTTTAATGTCTTTAAAAGAGTCGGCGTTCAGTTCAGAGTCGCGAATACATTTTGGATCGACTCCCGACCACTTGCTATCTATACCGCAAACTCGCACCGAATCGCCGATCATTATAGTGTTGTTCCGATCGCCTAAACATTTGTAGTATATAACACTTCCCACTAAAGCGCTGATATTGGCATTAAATGTATATAGATGCTCGGGTTTTATGCCCACAACCATTGATTCGTCGACCGACGGCGGGTACGGACACTGAGCTTTCGGTTTACAAACCGGGAACGGATCCAACCTAAGAGATAAGACACACATTGATGTGAACGCCAACAACAATAGAGGATATCCACTGCTTGGTTAATAACAAATCTGGTGTAGACTGTAGAAGCCCTGGCAGCTCAACTTTCGGAAGTAGCGTAAATATAGATATTATGCTTAATGGGCATATAAACAACGGTGAGAAATATAACTCCATGCTTGAGAAGAGGACAATGTCTGCGGAACCGCAGCGATGGAAAGGCATAAACGAGTTGGTGTAGAGTCTGATCTCGCAGATACTGATATCGTTCACATCGAACTCAATGGATTAGTAGACTCAGAACAGGGAGAGGGTCCGGAGCATGAACCTCAGCGGCAGTTTGAGGTATTGTGTGCAGTTTGGGTTGGCATAACAGCATAGGCAACAAAGTTAGTGAAAACCGTGTGTAAGAGCTAAATCATTTACCTATCGATCGGACAATTGATTTAAAAAATTATTCTTTGAAATCAATTAAAATGTTGTTTTTGAAGTTTACTTTTGAATATTTAATGATATTTCTGGCGTCGCTTTTCATGAGTCGTCCGGATTTGTCCAAAACGACTACTTCTAAGTAAGAGATGTGTCGTTTGACTTTCCGAAGATGAAGTTTCCACGAGTGAGGTCTTGACATCTTGTTTGATCGCAAACACGTGTCCCGTTTATAGTCCACATTATAGGCGGCCGTCGTGTCCTTATTAGACCATCGGTTCCGGTATTCTAACGAATGATTCTTACGATCCGCCAAATCTATTACACTAATCGTCCCGTAATGTAATTCTTCCACTTTTATTAGTAATTAAAATTTTATAGTTAAGTTAATTAACGAATAATTAAATAAATGGTTGACTATATTTTACCGCATCGGGGCAAATCGCCCACCCATTGACTGTTATGACATTTCCGGCTTGAATTTCCCAATAATTTCAATTCCGACAATTGACAGGTATATTCAACACTATCACCATCATAATATAGATGCTGCACTTTATCTATTTGAGCTGATTTTGACACATTTAACCATATTGGTTGTTAATTTTAAATTTACTATATAGGAATTGATATAATTTATACCATTATAGGGAATGGCGGGTAAACCACAATCGCTTAACACATCTCCAGTCTCGACGGCAATAATAAAAATAATTAATTTAATTAAATGATAATATTTTAAATTCATATTACTATTTAATTAAATTATTTTCTATAAAAAGCTACCATAAAATAGACTACAGAATTCTGTATTACATTTTCACTCATAAAACTATTTGCTTCAATAAAATGGTAATATTTACCGAAAGAAAATCTGAATAAATAGACAATTATTTGTGCTTTAAATTCATCGTACTATTACTGTAGTTAACAATCACAGTAACTTATTGACCATGAGCTCAAAACATATCTTTAAGGAGTATATTATGTGTTATTCTCATAACTTATTTGTTTAGTTTTTAACTTTAAGTTAAATAAAGTAAATCAAACACAAAATTACAAATACAGTTATGTGTGTATAGGATTAAAATACATTAATGAAATGTTAAAAATACAATACTTGTACAAAATGTTTAAAATGTAAACTTATTAACAAATAAAAACGAAAAAGTTTATAACATTTATATCCATTCAAAATAATACAAATAGGATTCAAATATATTAAAACAAATTATTTCTTTTTACACAAAATTTAAATATTTTTACTCTAATTTTTCCAAACTTGTGAAACAATCGCCGGCATTGGTGGTCTGACAGGCGGCGGCAATACATATTAAGAGGTCGCGAATGGGAAACTTTTCGACCCCTTCTTAAGTGGGGGTGTAGTGGGCGGCAGTTCAGTCACCTCATCCCTGTGGTCGCCCTCCTGGACAGCCATCTCCTCCCACTTCTTGGGCCGCCATTTCTTCTTCGGTGGCGGCGGTGGAGGCGGTGGCGGCGCTGGCGTTGTCTTCTCGTCCTCCTCCTCGTGCTCTTCCTGTTTCTTCGGCGGAGCTTTGGTTGTAGTCGTAGTCGTTGTGGTTGTAGTGGTTGTCGTCTTTTTGATAGGCTTTTCGGTTGTTGTCGTTGTCGTTGTTTTTATCTCTTTCTTTTCCTCTTCTTGTTTTTCCAACTCTTCCTTCCAGTCCTCCATATCTTTGTAATCAACTGAAAAGAATTGGTTTAAAAAATTTCTGTAAAATTCATTAAATTTGATTAAAATTCAGTACATTTTTCGCTCTTAACTCTTCCCAAAAGTGAGACACAAGTTATGAACAATAATGACAAACAAATGAATGCTTTTTTCATATTGAATCTCAAGTCAACATTCAATCAAATGTATAAAATGTGTTTTAAATTTATAAAAATGAGATTAAAAAGGTTTGAACACTTTGTTAGCGGCCGTAACCACCAGACTGTCCGCCGCCGTTATGTATAATTCTCCAGCGCTTACCCTTTGAAAAGCTGGGTTTCTTAAGCGGGGGTGTAGTGGGCGGCAGTTCAGTCACCTCATCCCTGTGGTCGCCCTCTTGGACAGCCATCTCCTCCCACTTCTTGGGCCGCCATTTCTTCTTCGGTGGCGGCGGTGGAGGAGGCGGTGGCGGCGCTGGCGTTGTCTTCTCGTCCTCCTCCTCGTGCTCTTCGTCTTTCTTTGGCGGAGCTTTGGTTGTAGTCGTAGTCGTTGTGGTTGTAGTGGTTGTCGTCTTTTTGATGGGCTTTTCGGTTGTTGTCGTTGTCGTGGTTTTTATCTCTTTCTTTTCCTCTTCTTGTTTTTCCAACTCTTCCTTCCAGTCCTCCATATCTTTGTAATCAACTGAAAATAATTGGTTTAAAAAATGGTTAAATTCCTGTAAAATTCATTAAATTTGATTAAAATTCAGTACATTTTTCGCTCTTAACTCTTCCCAAAAGTGAGACACAAGTTATGAACAATAATGACAAACAAATGAATGCTTTTTTCATATTGAATCTCAAGTCAACATTCAATCAAATGTATCCAAAAACTACTTTTTTCATGAAATGAAAAGTAGTGCAAAATTCACACCAAAACACTTTTTATAACTTTAAATAAAAACCCAAAAACACATCAATTTTATACAAAATCCAACATTTAATATCCAACCCTTTCGCGTACTTCACCTTAATTTTTCATACGACAAAAAAACAATCAAGAAAACGGTTTTAAACATACAATTAATTGTATTTGATATTTATAAACAGAGATATTATTACAAAACAAATCATAGACACTATTATTATATATCAATACAATATGCAAATTGAGTTCAAGTTCTAACAATTAATTGAAGTTTTGCTGTTCAGACACTATTGGAAAGTATAATAAAACAAAAAGTTTCTATGTTTTTCAAGAAAAAACAATTTCTTATTTGTAAAAATGAAAATCAAATGCTAACCTCTGGTTATAATTGTGAACAACTATTTTAGGGATCAAAGTAACGATTAAGTCATACAACAATGATTATGGTAATAATAATATAACGGTTCCGTTATTGGCGTTAACTATAATGATTTTTTAAACTATTGGCAAAACAAACCTATTTATCACTGATAAATAATTATCAGTCAAACGTTTGATTTATGACAGACCTTAAAATTAATGATTTGCTAATTATCTGATTGATTGGGACTTATAATTGTTATATTCATGAATATAATTATCAGTATTAATAAAAGTTTATTGTCTGAGTTTATGTCCGGATTTACTCTCAAATGAATACCAGACTTGAAATCCAAGGATTAGTTGAGAAATAGACTATTAAATTGAAAATGAATTATAATTAGATAATATTTCAATCGATAATTGTTTTGATCTAATTATTTAACTCTTTTAATACAATTATTAACAGACATTATATATAAATATCATTAATTGAAATTAATTACTACTATTTAAATAATTTCTAAACCCGTTTTTAAGTTTTCTGCTAATCAGTTGGAGAGAGAGAGAGAGAGAGAGAGAGAGAGAGAGAGTGCTCATTGCGACGGTATTTAATGCCCTCTCGTCGCCAACCTATCTGTCCGGTCACCTGATGTGGTAAATAAGACAAACGTTAATACAATCAATGAGAGAGAGAGAGAGAGAGAGAGAGAGAGAGTTTGAATTATATAAAACAATGTTGCAAACTGATAAATAAAAGCTAAAAATAAAAGTAATAAAAGTTTTATAAGTATAGAGACAAGTTTGTCAAAAAATGAATATTTTTTGTAAACTATATTGACTCGTAATCGATAGCACTTATTGTTAAGAATTTTAACATTTTATCATGTTAACTTAAAATGATAAATCTTGTAATTAATACTATTGTGTGTCAAACACTGCTAACACATTCACTATACAAAAAATCTAAACATAACATAATTAAAATAAATGAAACAAATGATGATAAAAAGTATATGGACTAAATCACACCATAAATCCAATAGATATGATACTTATAGTTAACCATTGAATGCAATTAATGGCACAAAAACGTTGAACAATGCGAACCAAAGTCTCGACCAATTAGTGGTTGTAATTGATGTTTAGCCCAATTGTGAGGCGTTTTCATTGAGTGATCGCAGCATTCATTCATCGATTTGAGTGAAGCGTCCGCTCATCTGATCTGCGCTTAACTCTTGTGTCCACACAATCGACACAACAGTCGGATAATGAGATAATAAGCCAACACTTGAAGACCACAATCGGGATCAGAGACATCGCACGACACAATGATTGGCGGACTCTTCATATACAACCATAAGGGAGAAGTACTCATCTCAAGAGTATATCGCGATGACATCGGGTCTGTATATCATGTCATGTCTTGAGTTGAATCCAATGCTAAACAATTATCCTTTTGTTGTCATCTCTATGTGATGTGTGTCGACCTGTGCTGTCACGTGCGCTGATGACCGACTGGATGTGCTGGCGATGCAGACGTAACGCTGTGGACGCGTTTCGGGTGAATGTAATCCACGCGCGACAACAGGTGCGGTCGCCGGTGACTAATATGGCCCGAACCTCGTTCTTCCACATAAAACGTGGTAACATATGGTTGGCTGCGGTGACCAAACAGAATGTGAACGCGTCGATGGTCTTCGAGTTCCTGCTGAAGATGTGTGAAGTAATGCAATCATATTTCGGCAAAATTAGCGAAGAAAATGTGAAAAACAATTTCGTACTCATCTATGAATTGCTGGACGAGATCCTCGACTTCGGGTATCCGCAGAACACCGACACCGGAATACTTAAGACATTTATCACTCAAACCGGCATTAAGTCGGCCACGAAGGAGGAACAGTCACAGATCACATCTCAGGTCTCTCTCTCTCTCTCTCTCTCTCTCATTGATTGTATTAACGTTTGTCTTATTTACCACATCAGGTGACCGGACAGATAGGTTGGCGACGAGAGGGCATTAAATACCGTCGCAACGAGCTATTCCTCGATGTCCTCGAATACGTGAATCTTCTTATGTCACCACAAGGTTTGACACAATCTGTTTGTTATATTTATTGCCCCGCAAAAGACATGATTTTATTTTATATTACATTTTCCTCTCATCTGAAATTGAATTTTAAATCATGTCTTATATTATGATTGCAATCAAACTCTTGTTATTTTAAGTATAACTCGTGTTTAATAGCAATAAATGTTTGCAAACATAAACTTAAACACAAATTTGTTGTCTAAATTGTAGGCCAAGTGCTGTCGGCACACGTAGCGGGCAAAGTGGTGATGAAGTCATACCTGTCGGGAATGCCTGAATGCAAGTTCGGAATCAACGACAAGATAACGATGGAAAGTAAGGGCAAACAGACGCAGTCAGCGGCGTTGGACGACCCGTCGCGCCCGACCACCACTACCAGCAAGTCTTCAATAGCCATCGATGACTGTCAGTTCCATCAGTGCGTCAAACTGTCTAAGTTTGAGTCGGAACACGCCATCAGTTTCATACCACCCGATGGAGAGTACGAACTGATGCGCTATCGGATCACAAAAGACATATCGTTTCCATTCCGGATCATACCATTGGTGCGAGAGGTCGGCCGAACCAAAATGGAGGTCAAAGTGGTCCTGAAGTCTAACTTTAAGCCATCGCTTATCGGCCAAAAGATTGAGGTGAAGATCCCGACCCCACTCAACACCAGTGGCTGTCAATTGATTTGCATGAAAGGAAAGGCCAAATACAAGGCCAGTGAGAACGCCATTGTCTGGAAGTATGTCTCGCGCGTTGGTTTGCGCCACGAATTGTTTGCTAATGTTTTTTTCATTTTTTTCATTAAGAATCAAACGAATGGCTGGTATGAAAGAGACACAACTGAGCGCTGAGATCGAGCTGTTATTGACGGACACGAAGAAAAAATGGAACCGACCGCCCATTTCCATGAACTTTGAGGTGCCGTTCGCGCCGTCGGGACTCAAAGTCCGGTATCTGAAGGTTTTTGAGCCGAAACTCAATTATAACGATCACGACGTTATCAAATGGGTTCGTTATATCGGCCGAAGCGGTCTCTATGAGACCCGATGCTGAGCGCATCCGACCAGCGGCTCTGTGGCCGACCATCGATCGCTTCAAACGGATATATTGTTCTCTCACTTCTCTCTCTCTCACACGAACTAATGGCTTGTTTTATGTCATTCCAGTGACTCTTCTCTCAGTTTTATTCTCCCAAAAAACATAACAAAATATGAGTTAAATAATCGTTTAAAGCAATTTATTACCAATTATTATGTGATTTATTAATTATTTTTTCTGTTTTTCTAAACTAAATGTTTTTTGTTTCTCTTAAATAGTTTTTATTTTGAACAAAATCTCTATTCTATTGAACTATTGATTGAATTCTTAAATTATTGAACAATATTTATATATAAATATCTCTAATATTCACTATAAGTTTCTCTATATTTTAAAGTCTTAATTATTACGACAAAAACTATTAGATGTTATCAATTAATTAAATTATGAATTAAAGCAATGGTTTTAATGTTTAAATTGAGTTTTTTATTTGAAATATACTTTTTTATTATCGATAGCATTAACAGGATTTTATTAGCGTATGTTTATGAGCCGTTCTCAAGTCAGTGGTGTTTCTCTTGGCGTATACTTCTCTTCCCGGGCTCGTAGTGGACAGACGTGTGGCCGAAACACGTGGACTCGCATCGGCCCCGAAGTGCGAACACTGTTTTGGTTGATCTCATATGAGTTACGCCACTATAGGAATCGCACGAGCCTTTGGTCGGTATATTAAAGCTCTCGATGAACAGTAGGTCTCCATCGCATTCGCCACCCCTTACTCTTCCCAATCGCCAAAACACTTCTTTGCCTATTAATTAAATATTGATATTTGCGTTGCAAATGGTTTACAACACATCAATAGTAAGGTTTCACAGTATTTCACAAACCGTTTTGGTCTTTGATAGCCATATAAGAGTCGATTTGATTGAGTGAAAACTGGTGTCCATTCTTCAGGCCATAGGAAATCAATTGCTTTTCTGGCATTTGAATGAACAGTTCGTTGCAATAGATGTGTTGTCTATATTCATGTGATCTACTGATGGACTGAAAATATGAATTGTGATCGCATTCATAATCGCCGTCGACTGACACTAGATTTGCTTTTCTGGCATTTGAATGAACAGTTCGTTGCAATAGATGTGTTGTCTATATTCATGTGATCTACTGATGGACTGAAAATATGAATTGTGATCGCATTCATAATCGCCGTCGACTGACACTAGAGTAATGTTCTCGTGTTTATTGTTGTTATTCTCCCCTATTATACACGGTTTGGATTGTCTATATTTGTTTTAATATAAGTTTTAATGGTTTTAAATAAAACTTACATTCGTTATAATGGGAACCAAGTATTTGCTGAAACACAACGAAAAGTGAAACAACAAAAACGTTTTTAAACATTATAAGTTAAATTTTGTAAATTACAAAACTTTATATTACTTTAACATTTACTCTTATTTATGAAATATAAAAATTTTTCCCTTTATATATCGTTTTACAAACTAGTTCTTAAAGAATAAGTAATAATAATTATAGTTTTAGTAATCATTGAGTTTATCGCTAACATTGAAAACATTAAGTTTTTGCTGATTTTTAGCTTAGATTTCTATAAACGAAATTTAATATCTAATTCTTTGCCTATTTTAACGCACATTTTACTTTTATTTTAGTAAAAATGAAAATGAATATTGATTTTATCACTGAATTAAACGAAACAACAAAGTTTTGACATAAGAATAGTTATGTTAATCATGTTTTAAGTTTTAATCTTGTGTTTAAAGTCATAATAACTACAGTATTTTAAGTACAATACTCGAGATTAGATAAACATCATGTAAAACTTTATTTAAATGTAATACTTTTATTCTATTTATACATATTTGTATATTGATGTTATTTAACAAATCATTACACATTTATAATTAAACATGTTTAATTCCAATAGATATATGTCTGTAGAGAACGCGCCTCTATTTTGGTGTTAATTAGTCCAACACTTTGGTCTTTAATTACCAAATTTGTCGGATTATCGCTCAGATTATAGACTATAACAACAGTTGAGTTGTCGGGTCTGACAAACGCCACACAATTGAAATCATTAACAGTTTTGTCAGCTTTTATGGAAACCCTCTGAGAATCTGGTGCTAAGAATTTGGAGAATTGGCCCAAAATATAGAATTTCGAGTCTTTGTAATACTCTTTGGCCGTAGAGTTGACCAGAAGTGGAGCTTCTGATGAATATTTAGCCCAATTTGGCTGACCATACATATCGAGCACTAGATTCCACTCAACCCAACCTCGAGTCCAATGTTGTAAATTCTGTTTGAGTTAATCAAAAATGGTTTAATACTGTATTATATAATTAACACAATTTGTATAAACCAACCATCATGATATCTTTCGTATAAAACTCAGCTTGTTCCCAAACACCCAAATTGACGGCAGTGCCCGGCGGTAATATATTGAATGCCTGACAGCACTCGGTCGATATTAAAAACTGATCCGGATGTCTTTGGTGGACAGTCTCCAGTATATCCCAATTTGTAAAACTGTTACCGTAACAGTGATAGGCTATGCCTTTACGGGCAATTCAAATGTTTATACAAATTAGTATTACATAAACAGAATATGCAATCATTCATACCATTAATATATTTAGCGGATTCCTTATCATTAAAACACGTGTCCAACCAATCGATCATATATTGTCGCGAGTCGTCAAATAAGATGAGATTCAGTTTATCCCTACCATAACCGGCACGAGTCAGTGCGGGTCCCAAATCTAGTTTCACGAAATCCCTCTCAAGGGTTGCATTCAGTGCCAAACAATTGAATTTATAGTCTTTAATAAATCCAACTTCCGGTTCGTTCTCGATGGTCAGCCCCCAGAACTCTATCCCATTTGATTTGTACGCGTCTAAGAATCTAATGAATGTATTTTACAATACGATTCTTGTCATGTGTTTAATCCATTATCACTTACTTCACGAAATAATTAGCCCACGTTTTGTAATACTTTTCACCCGGATTGCCGATAAGCTGACCGCCCCCATACAGGTGGCCATTTGTTTTCATCCAACCGGGCGCTCCCCACGGACTCGCAAACAAGGTTAGTTTGTGTGGACTCACACTTCGCGCTAATTTAATGTATGGCATCTATAATATAACATATATTAGTGAAAAACGTGAACAATTTGGTCGGCAAAATCCAATTAACAGCAGTTTATTACTTTGTAATCAAAGTCCTCTTTCTGTAGTTGAAATGTCTTGAGCTCGAAGTCGTCCTTTTGGTCGTTATAAGTGTACGGACGGGAAGAGAAGTCCGCCCCAGCGATTGGCACCCGACCCATACTGTACTCAATACCAGTGGCAGAGAAGTAATCTTTGATAACATTTTGGGCCAACTCTGGCGGCAATGAATTCAGATTAAGACCACTCGCGTCAGTGAAAGCGCCGCCAAAACCAATGATTTTCTGATATTTAGTGTTTTTATCAATTGTTAAAACAATACTGTCTTCAGATATGTGAGCGCTTTCTGTGGAAACTTTGAGTTCTCGTTGTTTGAGTCGATCACCCCTTTTGTTGGTCTCAAACACCAGTACTTTTCCGACCGGTTGTCTCACCACTGGATCCAAATCATCGCAATGAGTGATATTACAAACACAATATACAGTGTTTTTGCCCTCTCTTGCGATACAATCTTTACGGCTCTCCACTGAAAATAATTTATGTTTAATTTACTAAATATTGAAAAACTTATTTTGCATTCATTTTATTCATACCTAATGTTAAGCCAACGCAAAGACAGGCAATGAATACAATTGAAAAGTATTTCATTATAACTAATTGTGATATAAATTGTCAATGCATTCCATTATATACTCCTATTTCCCTATTTATACTGTAATCATGTCAAATGAGTTTTGCACTCAATTCAATCAATTATAGGGATTAAATAATATTTGTTACAATCTTATCAATTAATTACTTCAATTCAACATTAAATGTTAGGTTTGAATGAACTTAAAGAGAGTGCACTCAATCCCAGTTTATGTCCATAATGTTGGCCGTAGTGTACTGTATATTATAGTCCATACGACCGCATAATCCTAAAGACCGAAAATATAATCTTTTAAACTCTATTTAGTCGAGTAATTGATAGAAAATGTAGTCTTAAACATTTTGTTTCGCATACAATTCAATCTAATTTTAAAGTGCTTTATATAACAGTGCCATTTACCAAGTTTATCAACATATTTATAAGTATTTTAACATAGTTAGCCAAATACAGTATAAAATTGTGTGTTACCGCTAAATTATTGATAATAAATACCGCAACCAATATATACTGTATTAATAGTACTTTCAATGATAATAAAATTATGTGACTATAAAATAATGAATTAAATATTTATTATTTTAAATTTATTTGTAAACAAAATGTAAAATTAATGACAAGAAGTAATAATTTAATTCATAATAGGATTGAATCGAAATAAAAAAATTACAATTGATATCTAATTATGTATTTAATTCACATTAACGTAAAGTTTAGTTTAAATAAAACTAAAACTGTTTTAAGCTATGATTGAAAAAAATAGTTAATTAAAAGTGCGATAAATATAACAATTATTTCGGTTTGTATTTCTGAATCCAATCGCAAATCTTCTGACAATTTGTGTCCAATTCCTCCTCCGTTTCATTAGTCAACTGATGGCAGACATCAGATCCAAACCATTCGACCGCTTCCTCAACAATGGTCTCGAAGATCTCGCACTCAATATTAGCGGTGATCTTAACCTCGCTATAAGACCTCTCTTTGAGTCGATCGTAGAGTAGAGTATTATTGCAGCGCATTATGAATACCACTAAAAGACAATCAAACCAGAGGTTAACGCATCCACTCAAACAACACATGACAACAACAGACCGTCGATCAGCTCTTTGGCGATCAGAGACGGCGAGTGATGGTCAACGAGATAACCGCCGGAAGCGATGGCCGGCGACAGCTTCTCGTCCAACATGTCTTCGTCGATGATATCGGTGTCTAAGTGGTTGTCGTGAGACTCAATGCAGCCGTTGTTGCGGCAGAAGTGCGAGACATCCATCACCTCATAGTCGGGTAATTGTCTTCGGATGCGCTCACAGATGGATGTCTTGCCCGTCGCCGGCGTTCCGGTGATCAATACGTTAGGTCTCTCTCGCGAACACATTTTCGGTGATGTTTTGGTCACAAAAAAACAACTAAAATAACGAACACATGATTCATAACAAATACAACACATGTTTTGCGTTTTGATCATAAATAACGACATTATTTGCCATAACTTTGGTTTAAAAGTTTTGCAAAACTTTGTTGTATTGGTTGACAATTAAGATAATTAATAAATAATAATTAATTACAGATTTTACAATTTAAAAATGTATATTCATTTAATTAATTGCATTAATTTTGATTACAATTTGCGAACTATAATGAAATATATTAAATAAAGTCAAACTAAATAACGATTATATTAAATAGAAAATCAATTATCAGCGAAGTATTCAAAGAAGTGAACAAATATTGTATTCAATGTTGTAGTAAATCATGCCTTAAATTAAAATTGAAACAAATTAAAGAAACTGTTGGAGAGGCGAATTGATATTAGCGGCAATGTGTCCGCCGTCAGCCAATAGAATAGCGCCCGTAATAAACTGAGCATGGTCACTCGCCAGATAGGCCACGGCGCATGATAAGGTAAATTTAAATAGTGCTATATAATTCAAAATTGTAATAATATTATATACTTTTACTTCCATTTTACTTAATTTTATTCCCTAATCTAATTGATAATTGAATTTATAAAATAAGCACCAAATATACACTAAATATGTACTCATTTCTTGATAAAACTCACACTAATGTTAATTGTATGCAATGCTTGCTGTCATGTATTCTCAAACTATTAAATATTATGTTTAATACAGAATTTACAATTAGATTTAATTAACATTACATCTAATTTGAAAAACTATAAATATATACTTTATATTTGATTCTGTTATTGTATGAGAGTTAAGCTGAAGACTCTTTGGAAACGTAACGGACAGACCACCAGTGACTTGACTATTGGTCCAATGGATGAATCCATGACCAGTCGGTGTCCAACTGTTGGCTGCGCTGAGGGTTGGGTGCGAGTGATGTGTAGACACAGACCACCAGT